CTTCTGCAGTAATGCGGTCGATGTACCGGTCCGTCGTGGTGAAGAAGGAGCTGAGCTGTAAGGCGAAGCTCTCGATTTACTGGTCGATCTACAGTACGTTCCGACTTTCACTTATGGCCATGAGCTTGGGGTCATGACCGAAAGGGCAAGATCCCGGGTACAGGTGGCCGAAATGAGCTTCCTCTGCAGGGTGTCCGGGTGCACCCTTAGAGATAGGGTGAGGAGCTTGATCACTTGGAAGGAGCTCAGAGTAGAACTGCTGCTCCTCCACATCGAGAGGAACCAGCTGAGGTTGCTCGGGCATCTGTTTCAGATGCCTCCTGGGCGCCTTCCTAGGGAGGTGTTCCGGGCATGTCCCGCCGGGAGGAGGCCCCGAGGAAGGCTCAGGACACACTGGAGGGACTATGTCTCTTGACTGGCCTGGGAATGCCTCGGCCTTCCCCCGGAGGAGCTGGAGGAAGTGTCTGGGGAGGGGGGAGTTCTGGCAACCTTGAGCTGGTTCATCACCAGAGGGTCAGGCACTCACACTTGGTCCTTGTCGGTTTTGACATGGAGCACATCACCCCATCTTTGTGAAGGAGCCCGTGTTCACTCACGCATACATATATATTCAATAATGTACAGTAAAGAGGGGTGCATTTTAGACTAGAGAAATGCATTTCCTGTTGTAAATGCGTGTGGATGCTGATAAGCTGAAAGATCATCCTGAAAATGCCTGAAGTCAAATGCTGAAACAGCTGAAAGATGAGAAGAAATGGCTGAAGTTCTTTGTTGAAATAGTAGAGAAGAAATGGATGGCTGAAGTTCTTTGTATAGTTGAGAAGAAATGGCTGAAGTTCTTTGTTGAATAATCTAAAGGATGAGATGCAATAAGGTAGGAATGGCCTGAATGGCTGAACATTTTGATACCTGAATGACTTTTCTAGCTGAAGGTATGCTGAACTTATTAATAAAATGTTGAACGGGGCACGATTTTCAGAATAAAGCTAAATTAGAGGGACAGAGAGGGAAATGGGGAGGGGGACAGAGACAGAGAGAGTGAGAGGGGGAGGGGGAGAGAGACAGAGAGAGGAGTTATGTATGGGCATGTCCCAATTGCGCTGCATTTTATGAACCACCAGATGGCACTCCAAGACTGTGTTGTTGACTCAGCAGTTTGAGCTCCCATTGACTTGTATTGCAAAATATAAAGCTGAATAGATTAAAAAGTATAAACATTATAACAAAAAAAATGCAAGCAGGCATGTCCTTGAAGAGTTGAACAGATAGAGACCTCAATGGCCTGTATAGCTGAAAGTATGCTGGACTTATTAAATGCCAGAAAAAGGGTGGAAGATCCTAAAATAATAATAATAATAATGATGATGATAAATAAAGAACAGAAGAGCATAGTGTGGATGCTTTACCTCATCCACACAATAACTGGCGCTCTGATACCACGACTCCACATGTGGCTGCTACTGTGCAGAATCTGGTTGCAAAATGCATCAGAAAAACAAGATGGTTGCCCCTGTATTTGCTTCACATCCTCCATATTTATATACAGTTTATTGTTCCAGATAACACATTTTCAGTAATGTTGAATGAATAAAAGTTATATTCCTTACTTTACTTTTAAAATCAACTTTTCACATTCCATTTTTAAAACCAGAAGTACATTCTGCTTGAATTTTTAAAAAAAAATGTTTTTTTTCTTTATTAAGGATCAATATGAATTGTAAGAGGAGAGGAGTGGCAGCAGCAGTAGGGAGAAAAAAAAGCCTAAACTGACAATTTTCTACATTATCTTCAATAGGAATAGAAGCCAAGAGTGGAGCAAAGTCCAAAAGAGGAAAATAACAAGATGGACAAAGGAGGCTGGATGACAGCAATGTCTTTCCTAAGTCTTGGTATTTCATTTCATTTAAGAGAAAGAAAAGAATAGTGGGAGGAAAGAGGGGTAAACAACTGGATTAGAAGAGATTTTACAATTATTCATAATACCCAAACATGCAAAAATAGGTAGTCAGGGACTCAGTTAATACTTTAAAATCAGTTAGAGATACCAGCTCGTCTAATTTCAGAGCCTGATGTAATCTATTCCATCTGAGAGGAGTGAAACATTTAATGGCCTTTTCCCCCCAAGATCTCTTCTGTATTTAGGGATTTCAAGTACATGTCACAGACAAGTTCTTGTTCGGAACAGAAGAATTCTTGTGATATCCCCCTTGTAGAAAGTGAAGTAGCAGCCAAAGAATACTAACCAGCAGTGAAGCATGGATGTGTAACCCAGTCCGCAGGATACTCAGCATAATGACTTAGGTATCTGATCTGCATGTATCCATTGTAGAAGCAGAAAACAAAGGCCAGGGCAAATGGGATGAATGGTGTTGGTTTACCTCCTCGAATTAAAAATGGGTAAATAAAGCATCTGCAGAAGAACAAAAAAAAAAAAACAACGTATTATTTGGACATGTATTGATTAGCAAATATTAGTGATATTCAGATCTATAAAATGCAATGAACATATAGTATATTGTAACATATATTACTCATCTTCTTTGAGAGGAGGTACTGAACACATCCACGCCACATCACGTAGTTAATTTGCTGATAAAGTAACATTTTGTGCTACCTTGTGACGTCATGGTTCAATCAAGCGTGTTTGCCTACCTCTGGGCGTAGTGGAAAATATACATGGCAATGAGCAGCTGGTTGGGCAATAGTGAGGTTTTCGCGGGGCTGGCCCAAACTAACAGACACAGAGGCACAAAGAAAGAAGGCATCTCCTGAACGAACCAGGCAAACTTGGCATTGACTGGAAATCCATATTTGCTGTCACTATATCGCCCATATCGGAGCTTTTCGAAAAGCAAAATAACGAAAACCCCGACTGCCATGAAAATCATACAGTAAGCCATGCAATCCAGAATGTATAACTCCTCATCTTCCGAAGAGAAGAGCCCGAAGAGGACAACCTCCATCACGGAAACTCGCAACAATTTTATAATATTCTGTACTACTAACTAACACTGAAGCATTTGCTATGTAGAGTAACGCCCGACATGGACAACATCACTTTATGATCATAACCAATCGGCTCTTGTACATATAAGGTATTGGAGCCTATCAGCCAATCAAAACGCTCGATTCTACACCGATCGTATTCAACTTCCCTAGTTGTCACTAATAAATAGTAGAAACATTTACATATCCTTATTTGAAATATAACATTTCATATGGTAAATTTCATATTCACAATGTCCCGAAATGCTGTAAATATAAAGCTTTTTTTTTCTGGCATATTTTATGGCCACCTCTCAAGGGGTCCTCATTCACGTGCGTCAGCGGCACACGTTTCGAGGATACACGGCACAACAGCTCATGGTTGAACTGACGGTGGATTTCTATTTTTTTCCGAGTTGCAGGTCACGTTTCTTTGCATCTGGTCATCATATTGTCCCACAGACTTCCATCCAGAGCTGTACGCTGTTTAAGGATGGGGAAGAGAAGCAGGCAGAGGCAGAAAAACCAAACTGCTGGAAGGGACAACAGAGACAACGCTGTAAGAGTCACATTTATGCTTCTTCAACTCTTGCTAATGTTAGGTACTCAGCCACGTATTAGCTTTTTAAAGAAGAAAATGTAAGTGACATCACTTTTTGGTTATCTTTACTGAACTTACACAGTCGGTAGACTGTGACGGTGCTATACTGCTTCGATGTCGGGCAGGTTTGCTCTTAACTATCGTTTTCTCAGCTATTTTCTTAGCCTTGCAGTGGTGGAAGAAGCACTTGGCGATTATTTAATGCAACTTAAGTCAAAGCAGCAATATCACAGTGTGAAAATGCTCTGTTACAAGTAAAAAGTCCTGCATTCAAAATGTTACCTGAAGGTATAAACGTATTGGAATCAAATATAAGTACAAAATGTAAAAGTACTAATCAATGTTGGATTATAATTTTTGATGCATTATTGTGCAGCTGGTACAGCAAATTTTAGTTACCTTGTATGCTTATAACATACTGTAGCTTGTGAATGTTCCACACGATCAAGATTATCAACTCATGAGTATAATGAAGTCAACGTATGAAGTGGCAAATAATAATAATGAAGTCAACGTATGAAGTGGCAAAAAATGAAAATAGTTTATGCTTTATGTCTTATGTATATATTTGTTTTCACGATGGAAGGGAAAAGAAAGAAAAATGAACCTCCTAAAATTCATCAAAAATAAAAAATTGTTTGTAGATTACTACATGCTCAATTGACCATTAGGCCATACTAAAGTATAATGGGTTGTACTAGTTATATACCCTTGACCATAAGACAGTTTTTTTGTGACATTTGCCACACAAATGAATAAATCTCCATTTAGTAGGTACTTTTGCAGTTGGTTCTGTACAGAAAGGCAGTTCAGATAAATATGGCTTCATTAATGACCATGTATCCCTTTGTTCAGGTCTGGGGAGCTGGCTATGCTGACATTGTCAAGGAAAATAAGCTGTTTGAGCACTACTACAAGGAGCAAGGCCTGGTGCCTGAGGGAGAGTTTGAGCAGTTTATGGAGGCAATGAGGGAACCTCTGCCAGCAACCATCCGGATCACTGGATACAAGAGGTGATTTGGAGTGATAACCAACATGAATTCTGTTCTCTTTATCAGTCAGCCCACAGCTTTAAGTGGCATTCATATCCTAGTCCATGTCATGCAGCCTACAGGCTATAAGGAACACAGTGGATTGAATGAGCTTGGCTTGTACTGTTTGTTTAATTGTTGTCATCTTAGACAAAAATATATTTACATGGCACTTCATACATTGTCACTGCTGCTTGTCCGGTTTCTCCACCATTTGCCTCATTTCAGCCATGCCAAGGAGATCCTCCACTGTCTAAAGGAAAAATACTTCAAGGATATTCAGGAGCTGGAGATTGATGGCCAGAAGATTGAGGCTCCGCAGGCTCTGAGCTGGTATGATCTCACATGGTTGATCCAAAGAACACCCAGATTCAAACTAGGCACTCAGTGCATGCTGTCTCTCCTCACCAGGTATCCTGATGAACAGGCCTGGCACACTAACATAAGCAGGAAGATCATTAGGAAGTCTCCCCTGCTTGAAAAGTTCCACCAGTTTCTGGTCAGCGAGACTGAGTCGGTGAGTCAAACAGAAACCAAAGAGAACTGTTCATTGTTTCCCAGCCTGTTATGTGGCTGGACCCACATAATAATGTTTAAACGTTAGGAAGCCTGATGGACAAAGAAGTTAGGAGAGTTGCAGGTTTGAATATCAGCAGTATTCACAAAATTCTCAATGGAAAATTGAAATATTCAGAAAAACTAAATGTCAGAAGTTGCAAGAGAAAGAAGTAAGAAGTTGAGCGTTATATTTGTCCTTGCAGGGTAACATCAGCCGGCAGGAAGCTGTCAGTATGATCCCTCCGCTCCTCCTGAAGATTGAGCCCAGCCACAAGGTAAAAACACTGCCCTCTGTCAAGGTAAAAATCTGCCAGTGCTTAATGCATTTTCAGTAAAAAAAAAAAATAATAATAATAATTTTCTTCAATTCTGCCCTGGGACACACAAGTTTTAAAAAATAAATAGTTTTGAAGTGCTGATGTGCACATGTTTGTGGGCAGATCCTGGACATGTGTGCAGCCCCAGGGTCAAAAACAGCGCAGCTCATTGAGATGCTCCACGCTGACATGGATGTGCCATTTCCAGGTGAGAGAAACACTGAAAATTAGAAAACAGATTTTAATGACAAAATTATTTTTTTCATTTTTGAATTAGATAAAATTATACATGTTAGAAATCATTGTTAGTTTTATTTTACACACCCATAAACATGAACTCTCGCCTGTATATGTGACGTTATCAACAGTTCTTGGCAGTAGTTAACATACATCTGTTCTTCCACCCTCCAGAGGGCTTTGTAATTGCCAACGATGTGGACAACAAGCGCTGCTACCTGCTCGTGCACCAGGCGAAGCGTCTCAACAGTCCCTGCATAATGGTGGTCAACCATGATGCCTCCTGCATCCCAATGCTCCAGATCGATTCAGACGGCAAGAAGGACATCCTCTTTTATGACCGCATCCTGTGTGACGTGCCCTGCAGGTCAGCGAAGGGCTGCAACACTTTTACATATTACAACACTGCAGGAGAGTTCAGCTTCGGGAAGTGGATAAAGAAAGAAATATGGTTGAAAAGCTGTGCTGTATGTTTGGGGGTTTGTTTGGTGACAGATGATACAATGATTCATAATGACAGATGGAGAATAGGCTTCACCCTGTCTGCCAGACATCTGGTATCTCCAGGTCTTTGTAAATGGCTGGTGGTAATAATGTTAAGATAGTCATTGGTCAAACATGCAGGCACATCACACTACTTATATTTGATGTAATGTACAGCATATATATCCCTTCTTCATCTGAAATCTAGTGTCAATTTGTGGCCTAACAGAACAGCATTAGCTTGCAAATGCTGCCTGAGTTTGGCCAGTTGCAGTATTGAAGCCAGGAAAACCTGCCAAACACAACAGAGGAAGAATGAGGGGAGGAGAAGCAGTGATATAGATGGAGTGAGGCAGGCAGACAGGCTGCATTGATGTGAGCAATCAACTAAAGCTGGGCATTTCCACAGTTTATCCTGTGAGAAATGTTTTGGAGCTCTGGTCGTTTCACTGTCGCAGGCCAAAGTGGGGATGTATCTGACTGATGCTGCTGTCTGCTCTGTGTTTCTGCAGCGGGGACGGCACCATGAGGAAGAACATAGATGTGTGGAAGAAATGGACAACCAGCAATAGCCTGCATCTCCATGGGTGAGTGGGGGCAGTGCATGCTCAAACTTGTGACATCATAGGAGTTCCTACACTTGTGTGGTACACCAAATTGACTAAACAACAAGGGAGTGGAGTGTGTTCTTTTGGTGCTAATTAGAAAAGCTGGCAGTATTACAGAGCGTGTGTGTTAACCAGGCTCCAGCTGCGGATTGCAGTCCGTGGGGTCGAACAGCTGGCTGTGGGAGGTAGGATGGTCTACTCCACCTGTTCACTCAACCCAATAGAGGATGAAGCTGTCATAGCAGCACTGCTGGAGAAGAGCGAAGGTAAGGAACACACTCACAGGGCTTCACAGTTTTTCCAATTTTGACTTTTTCTTCAAATCCGAGTTTAGTTGTAATGTTTTAGTCCAGTTTTTACTAAAATGTTTATTCATGAATAGCCTTTTAACCTCGTAGAGCTCGTCTGTTTCAATTTTTTTGGGTCCTGGAACCAGACAGTTTGACTTTTTTTATTGAAAAATACTAACTCAATAAAGTTGAAGCTAATGTTGCCAGCTGGTAAATTACTAAGCTAGCAGCGCTGTTACAACATAGACTAAGGTGCACAGAGGGCCTATAGCTTGTAGACTGGCATCACCTTAAATATTGATTATAAAACATTTATAATACAATACAGGCATGTTCTGATTAAAACAAAGATAAAGCCACATGACATCGGAATATTCTATGTTAAAATCGGCAGGCTAAATCGTAATTGATATAATAAGGATATCTAAATATAACCAGTCAGACCTTTCCTGGCATGTTGTAATGCTGCGTCTGTCTACATTTCCAGGAGCGCTGGAGCTGGCTGACAGCTCAGCTGACCTGCCAGGCCTGAAGTGGATGCCTGGGGTTACTTCCTGGAAGGTACTGGGGCATTCGGTCATTACAATAAACCAACCACAAAAACAACAAACCATGAAGGAAGGCAGTGTTTAGGTCATGGATGCATTTCAGCTTCAGACTGAATGTTGTAGGCCTGTGTCCTGACCATGGTTCATGCATTCTTCTTTGTAGCTGATGACCAAAGAGGGCCAGTGGTACTCAGACTGGTCTAAGGTTCCAAGCAGTCGCCACACACAGATCCGCCCTACCATGTTCCCGCCTAAAGACCCAGAGAAACTGGCTAGCATGCATCTGGAGAGATGGTATGTACACACACACACGAAAGATGTGCCCTTTTTGCAATTATTCTAAGCCTGTCTTTTTAATGAATCCAGTCCCCAAACCTTAATCCTAAAAGTCCATGACTTGCTTTTAATAACTTCACCTAAAGACTCTATTGCCAAAATAAATAGGAGCAGTGAGAGCAGGCAGCCTGGTTTACAGTTTTTTTGAGTTCCAAAACAATCAGTGATGCGATTTATTGTAACTTTTATCCCATCCGAGTAACATTTGGAATTTTTGCTGTATGATCAGATGCTTTAATCCCAAACCCTAATCCTATTTTATCTGATCTTCTCATCCTTGTGACGGTGTCTCCTTCTCATAAGAGCAGAGAGATGCAATTGTACAGCCTTGTTTGTTATTGATGCCAGATTTATTAGCTGAGTAATGGGCCTGATTTATTTATTTTTTCCAGGCACAACTTTTCACAGATATACACGGTGCCTGCATGGATGCACATATATGTACTCTACACACCTGCACTCTCACGTAATGGGGAATGAGGTCGCTTTTGCTGAGCAACTTTTGCTTTGATGCTCACACTGTCAGCATGTCAGCCAGCAGAGGGAGCTATTGTCACAACAAACCCCTCTTATTGCATGCTGGGAAAAAAAGGCCTTGTTTATCTTTGTACTGGGAGGCACCATAACACTCAGAACCAAGATTTGTGTGTGTGTGTGTGTGTGTGTGTGTGTGTTTTAATGTCAGTATGAGGATTCTGCCACATCACCAGAATACTGGAGGTTTCTTTGTGGCCGTGCTGGTGAAGAAAGCCCCGATGCCTTGGAACAAAAGATATCCCAAGGTACTTCCTCTCAAACACAAATACTTAATGGATGATTAGACTGTCAGTCTTACTTGTAGAAGGAAATGGAGCAGAATTCCCATATGCAGGCATGAGGTCTGTCTGTTGAACCAGCAGGAGGTGACCCCACCCACTTGTCATGCATCACTCACCTGTTTTCCAGTCTGCTAAACACAGCTGGGACTTCTTTTTCTTCCTCCTTTGTCTGCTCATCCCTCCCCTTCCCCGTCATCTCCAGCTGAGGAAGGAAATGTCATCCAGCTCTGCAGCCCAGACCAGAGGCACTCCAGCGGCCTCACCCTTGGCAGATGCTCCCCACCTCCCCAAGAGTGCTGTGGAGGAGGGGGAGAGGGGAGGCCCTGAAGAAAAGGTAAACTGGGAGGCAGAAAAGGACACAGCCAAAGGATCATCTCTGGCTCAAGAGGCTACTTCTAAACAAGACGGAGTGTGTGGGTGAGTGAAGTTGGTCTGGTGAGCTAATAAATAAAGGAAAACTGTAGGCTCTATAGTCATTGTTAAACAAGTAACGTTACCTTTGCGTGGAATATAAAGTAACTCATTCCTTGCAAAAGCAACAAATCTATCACTGGGTCTCACAAGGGGTACAAGTTTTACACAACTTCTTTAATAGATTGCTGATAATGTTAGTGATCAATATTTAGTTATACATACAAAATGCATGTTATTTCCACCATGAAGGCTGTAATTAGAGACATGGGATATTTTTTCAGCTTACCCAAATTAAAGTAGGCATTTGGAATTTAAATAAACACGACTAAATAGACTGAGGTAAATGACTTGATTTCCAGGCCTCCACCCTCTAAGAAGATGAGGCTGTTTGGTTATAAAGAAGACCCCTTTGTGTTCCTGACAGAAGATGACCCTGTCTTCACCACCATACAGTAATCATCTCTTTATTTATTAGACTTGAAAATGATTGTTTTCAACATTTTGGTGTAGCAAAACTAACCTTTTGTGCATTTTCTTTAGATCTTTCTATGATCTGTCCTCTGACTTCCCCAAACTCAATATTCTGACCCGGACCCATGAGGGCAAGAAGAGACACCTGTACATGGTGTCTAAAGAGCTCCGCAATGTGCTACTTAATAACAGCGAGAGCATGAAGGTGTGTTCGTGTTTGGCTCATCATTGAAAGCCAAGATTGATGGTGATGATAAAGCATTTCCTTGCATGGAAATCCAATAAAAATAGATGCAGCAAGCCAGTAATCAATTTTTTTCCTGCAGACGGTGCATCTAGTCTTGATTGATTACACAGTGGAGTCAGCTGCTCTTTGCTTAATATGGCACAAGCTACTCAGTGTTTTGGATGCACACATATTGGCTTTTCATTGTTACATCAGTTTGTTTCTATAGTGTGTATTTGTGTGTGTGCATTAGTGTCTGTTTACATGTACCAGCCTAACAGATGGGACCCCCTCCCAAATCCCTCTAGTCCTGCACCTTGTAGCACCTGCACAGGTGGCACCGTGTGTGTGTGTGTGTGTGTGTTCTTTGTTCTCCACATTGTTTTACTTCTTCATCACTTTGTATTGGGCTAAACATGCTTTCCACACTGGTGATGGTGATTGAAAAACAGGGATTCTGTTTTCTCTTTACAACTCACAGTATCACAATGGATGTATCAAATTGTGTTTCTAAAGAATACTAAGGTTATTTAATAGGAGTTTCTTTCTCTTGCTTTTGTATTCTCACATAAAATTATCTAAAGTTCCGTTTTGCTTCAGTTTCCTTAGGTTGCAACAATGCAACATGCATATTTATGTCAGAAGTGTAGCTGGATTTTACTGTGCAGATTACTAATAGTTGCCTCCCACTCCTGCTGGGATGCCAGAGACCGGCTGCACTGTGTTTATACATTGTTTTGTGAGATCTTGAACATTAGATGCCTGGAGCAAGAGAGTTGGGTAAACATCAGTGAGTACATAAACATCTCCAGTAACATTGCCACACTGCAAGTAACATAATTAGTTCTTTAATTTTTAAGTGTGCCACCCCCGATTCTGTTTTCAGGCAGGATATTAATTTGTGAAGTTTAAAGTGAGTGGAATTTGGCATCATTGTGTTGTTTTTGTTCAGAGCCATATGTCAGTTTGTGTTCTCCTTGTTTCTCAGGTCATTAACACAGGGGTGAAGGTGTGGTCACGCAACAGTGACGGAGAGGAGTTTGGCTGTGCCTTTAGACTGGCTCAGGAGGTAACACACACCTTGTACAGCTGTCTTTTTGAGGACACTCATTGACATAATGCGTTGCCTAGCCACTTACCCTGACTTAAGCCTTCACAATTAAGTAACTAACCGAACTCTAACCTAAACTAAAAATTAAGTCTTAACCCTTAAAGGTGCAGTTTGTAAGATCTAGAAGGATTTATTAGCAGAAATGGGCTACATTGTGCATAATTATAATTTTCATGAATTTGTAATCACCAAAAAATAATTGTTGCATTTTCTGTAGTTTAGAATGAGCCTTTTGTATCTACATAGGAGCGGGTTGAATTTGTTATATTCATCCACATCTTCTCTGTTCAACCAGGGCATCTACACTGTTCAGCCATATATTCGCTCCAGGATAATCCAAGTGAGCGTGGAGGACATCAAAGTGCTTCTGACCCAGGAGAACCCCTTCCTCAGTAAACTGGAGTATGACGCTCACTCTCAGGCCAAGAAGCTAGGTATGTATGCACTGCACTACTTCTGGTGCCTGTTTTAACCAAGTGACTATTGTAAAAAGTGCTATCAAAAACAGAAGGGCGAATTTCTTTTGCATATTGACAAAAAAATACCTGAAAGAGCTGAGCATTCCCAGCAAAACAAACTTGTAGTTATACTGGATGATTTTCGTATTTAAGTACGCTGTACAGTGGAACCTCTGTTTTTGTCCAAGTGACTATTGTAAAAAGTGCTATAATAAACATTACTTCAACATTACTGAGCATTCCCAGCAAAACAAATTTGTAGTTATACTGGGTGATTTTCGTATTTAAGTCCGCTGTACAGTGGAACCTCTGTTTTTGTGATTAATCCGTTGGAAAAAGTCTGACGAAAACTAAAGCAATATTTCCCATCAGAAATAATGTAAATCCAATTAATCCGTTCCAGACACCCAAAAATATTAACAAAAAATACATTTTAGAGAATAACTATATTTTTACATACAGAAAACAATGAGAAATAAATATAAATGACAAATGAAATGAATAAATGAACAGTTAACATCACTTTTACCTTTATTGAAGACTCTTGTTGGCTTATGGAAGACAGTGAGGAGGGGAGAGGGAGGAGGAGAGGTTATTGTTTGGAAGGGGAATCCCCCTCCATAAGGACTTCATGTATCAAGGCCCAATCTGGGCTTACTTCCCTTCACTCATTTCTTCAGGGAAATGAGTGGCAGAGTCACGCAGGCAGGCGGACGAGTTTGGTACGGACTAACGACGTTGAACCGACCAATCAACTGTACGAGAACCGAGCGGATGTACGAAAACTTGGACAAAATTTCGACAAAAAAAGTAATTGAAAACCGAATCTTACGAAAAGTAGGGCGTACGAAAACCGAGGTTCCACTGGATATAAATTGGTAAAGCATTGTGAGCTTACTGGTGCTGTTGCTGATATGTGTTTATCTCCACAGGAATGGGTAGCATTGTGCTGAAGTACATTCCCAACCCAAAGAAAAAAAATGTTTTAAATATATATTTTAGATCTTTGTATTTATATCTTAAATTTTTATTTTATTTTTTTGGCTGTTTGTGACACCCACCATCACTCTGTGTTTGACAGTAACTCCACGGAGCCTCAGTGTCCCATCCAACTGTGTGGCTGGAGGGGAAAGACGTCCATCCGAGCCTTTGTCCCCCGCAATGAGAGGTTTCATTACCTCCGAATGTTAGGTGTGGAGGTCTTCAGAGACAAACAGGGTGTGGGGCAGAAACGGAAAGAAGCTGAAACGGAAGGAAAGGACAAGGAGGATGAGGTAGAAAAAGATGCAGCGGAGGAAGGATCAGCTGAAATCGAGGGAGACCTGGACTTGGAGCAGGGTGATGAAATTACATCATCGGAGCCAAAGGACAGCAGCGGTACCCAGGAGACCAGCAGCTGAGTAGAGGAGACAGAAAGGCTGACTGAAAAGGAATAACAGGTCTAAGAGCTGATCAGGTTCAAGACCACGTGTTGTGGTAGAGGAGCTTCACTGTTCACGATACTGCCACTGTGGAAGGATTCCTTGCCAGAAACAGACTCCCATGGGATATTTGAGGAGTCAGCTTTTTAGTTAATTGCCTGTCATTATTTTATATGACTTATTTTTATGTTTTTAACAAATTTATTGCACTGGCCAGGTGGTGTCAATATTCTTTCAGTTATCACGTTTATATTAACTGCCATCTTATTTTCTACACCTGTGATTAAGCAGACATATGGAGTTGATTTAAAAATGTTAAGGGTTAGCGCTGTCACCAAATTATTTGACTTGATCCTTTCAGGTCTGAAGTGTAAAGTCGTGCTTAAGTTGCTTAGTCATGCTTAATGTTATGCAAGCTACAGACTTAATAAAACACAGGCATGCGGAACTTAAACACTATCTAAGGTAGTACATACCTCCTTAGGTCTGGACTCAGTAGTTCCCACATTAATGTCCAGGATTGATCCAGGGTGCATCAGAAGTTTTCCAGGTTTCACTACCAAAGCAAGGCAATATTTACATTAACTAGCATTTTTATGTTTGTAAATGTAAAAACCCCACTAAATATGCAGTTATGCCATTGCAGGTTGAAGCAGTCAGGTGATATACCTTATGAAACAAAACATGCCTTTTTAGCCAATGGAAATCATTTTGCATGTTTCAGAAGCAGCACAATGCCAAATGAGAACTACATGGCGACACAGAATGATAGAAGTACATTAAATCAAGTATCATATTTCATTTTTTATTGGTTTAGTATTTATCTACCATCTGTGTAAGATGGTAGATTACTTTTTTTTCTCTTCCCTCTTTTTCTTGTCAGAGTAGGTCTGTTATGTTAGTCTAGTGGTATTAACATGCTCACAGTGAGAATGCTAGTGTGCTGATGACTAGCAGGTATTTACCATCTCCACCATCTTTGGTGGTGCTGGCATGCTAGCATTTGCTAATTAACATTAAACAGAATACAACTGAGGCTGATGGGGAAAGTCAATAGTTTTAAAGGTATTTGGTGATAAACCAAAGTAATGAACAAACTGAAATTCTGACTTGATGATAGTGCTAAATGGGAATTGGAGTTATCACCCAATTCATCCCGACGAAAACATGAAATGTCAGTAGTTAAGTAGGTGTTAAGACATCTGTCACTGGCAACGTCATGGTTCCACTAGTGGGGAAAATCACCACAGTAATAAGGATCCTTTCTGGGAGCTATAGATGTATGTACCATATTTTGTGCCCATCCATCAAGTAGATGTTGAGATATTTGAGTGGCCAAAGACTTAGACCTGCAGGTGGTAGAAGACAGAAATTCATTGTTTCATTTTCTAGGGGTTGTCAATGTTTGTACAGGGTTTTGTGCCTTCTATACAGTAGCTGATGAGATATTTCAAGATGCACACAAAGTGGTTGATCAATTCAGTGACCAACATTATAATCACAGAAGCCACAAAAAAGTACAGGAACCGCTTCCTTTAAACTCGCACAAATGTTTCCCTTATGTGATTGAAAAGGTCTGTTTCCAAAATCTCATATTTTAGTATCTGTGCCTTATCATTTGGAAATCTCATATTTAGAAGTCGCACTACAGAGAAACGTGAAAAACACAAAAATGTAACCACTACAATAGTATATTTTGTCAGCAGTTGCCACGGTAGCATCACTATACTGAATGGACAGCCATTTCCTCATGTTTATTACCTAGTCTAGCTGCCATGACAACAGCCGTCATGGCAACCAGCCCCTTCACCGCTCTCTGTTGGCAGGAGAGGACAGAGGGACCACAGACAGCATCCTCCTCTCACCTCCTGCTTCACTTCTTTTCCTGTCCTCTGCTGTCTCTCTGTCCCCTTTGTATTTGATCTGTGACCTCTAAAGTGCACCACAGTGACTATTCCCATTCATAAGAGTGCCTGTCACATCAATTGCCTCAACCACGGGTATGCCACTGACAGCACTATTTGCAGTGGCAGAAGTCTGGGACAAGAGGAGTCTGTGTTTGGGTTACAACCTGGTTGTTCGCTGTTTGCTTTTTGTTTACCAGACTGAAGCCATAGCGCAAGGGTGGAGCTGCCTATGGAGTCAGTCGAGGATGCAAGGGCAGAAAAATGCCCGATATTTTTCAGAGATGAAAATGAGAAAAAACTTGGTGAGGAGAGATGGGTGGATGGAGGGTTAGACAGACAGTGAGAATTAATACAGTTATAAATTGACTTAGGGAAGGGTTTGAAGATAAGTTAAATTGTTACTGAGTCATAGGCCTGTGTGTGTGAGGGGGAGTGTGTGTGTGTATACTTCAGTTAAGCCTGTCGTCGTGTGTGTATGCACATTAGTTTGTCAGCATGAATGATGCTTCCTGCCTTTTAACTGTAATGCTTGCTACCAGTCTACTAATACAAGTAATGACATAGGGACGTACATGAACGTGATGTCTTCTTTCTCCTTCATCCTCTCCTCTTCCTCTGTCTTCAACTTTACATTTGAATTTCAATTCTGTCCTTGTTTTTAACTTGATTCATATCACTCACTTTTTTCCATTTTGATTATCTTTCTCCTTTGAAGAGCTTTGTGAAAGCACTCGTCCTCTGAAAGCTCAGATTTTAAAATGTTCTCAATCTGTCAAATCAGTTTGTCTGTTTTACTTTCCCTCAATACACCATCTTTATTGCAGCTCTGTTCTTCTACCCTTCATGTTTGTATGATACATTGAGATATAGACATTGTGTCAGCACATCATAACCCACAGTGTAATGAAATAACAGATTATTGTGTTTGTGTTAAGTGTAGTTGAAACCTAAAAGTGATAATTGTTAATTAGTGGGGTATTGCTACATTACATTAAAGTTATAATGTATAGGAATCAGAACTTGGGACATCCATAGTGACACCTTCTAGCAGCTGGGGCCAGGATCACGTTCATGTGTTGATTGACAGCCATGAGCTCCCTCTGATTTTGGCCTTCTCTGATTGGTTAGAAGGGCGAGGCTCAACTATTCCTAGGGTGTTGAATGAGCTTGGGTCACAGAGGTTTTGGGCAGCACCCCTCCACATTAAGATATATTTTGGAACGTATTTGAATCTAGAAAATATAAACAAAAGTTAAATACTGAAAAGACTGTAATGTAAATCCTGTCATCCATAATAACCTGAATGTCTGAAGCAATGTTGTGTTATCTGTACAAATTTGACCCCTGCTCTTTCTACTTATTGGCACCTATCAGTATAAAAGGTATAAAATCATTCTGCAGGACAGGTACTTTATTGTTTTAACAACAGT